GTTATTCTTCTGTACTGAACAAATATAGAGCCTTACTTTTTCAAATTTTTATTTTTTAAGTTCTAAAATTAATAATGTTTCTTGTAATTAATTCAGACATTAAGGAAGTGAATAAAATAAAACTTTAAAATTTGTTGACTACCCTTGTACCCCAGAGGTGACACTGTTTGGTAAATCCTTCCAGACTTCTAAAATATGCATATGCAAAATCATATACATATACACATAGAAAAAATAAGTTTTTTTTTGTTTGATAGAAGTTAGATTTTATAAACATTTAGATACTGGGTTTTTAAACTTAACATATTGGGCATACTTGCATATCAGCACATAGATAGACAATAGATTTTTGGGGGATGGGGAGGAACAGAGAGAGATAATCTCAAGAAGACTCCATGCTCAGCATGGGGTCCTACACGGGGATTGATCCCACAATGCTGAGATCATGACCAGAGCTGAAATCAAGAGTGAGGCTTAACTGACTGAGCCACCCAGGTGCCCTAAAACTTAAATTTTAATGTAAAGTTTTTATTGAAATATATACACATATAGAAAGGCAATGGCATGTTCTTTCTGCATATATGCTATATCTCATTATTTTTAATAGCTGCATAGTACTCCTACCCAATTATTTATATATATATATATATATATATATATATATATATATATATATTTTGGTTTGCTAACTTTTTCAATTACAAGCAATGCTATACTGAACATCTTGGAACATAGATCTTTGAACTTTTGTGTTAGTATTTCTTTTTTTTAAGATTTTTTATTTATTTGATAGACAGAGATCACAAGTAGGCAGAGAGGCAGGCAGAGAGAGAGAGGAGGAAGCAGGCTCCCTGCCGAGCAGAGAGCCCGATGCAGGGCTCCATCCCAGGACCCTGGATCATGACCTGAGCCGAAGGCAGAGGCTTTAACCCACTGAGTCACCCAGGCACCCCAGTGTGTTAGTATTTCTTAATAAAAGTAGATCCGTTGGGTCAATGGCTATGAAATGTAAAAACATTAAGAGATACTACTGAATAGCCCTGCTGAAAAAAAATTGCCAATTTACTTTTCTACTAAAGATATTTGAGAGGGTACAAACCTTTGAGGCAAACTCTCCTTAAAAAGTTGGAGATCTGCTGTGCATAGTTGAGAACTAGACTCTGTACTGTTTTTTATTTATATTTAATGACTTCACATGAGCTGGTCTTTTCTGTCTTTGAATATTTGAATATTTCAAGTTCCTTAGAGGCTGGGATCATGTCATATACTTCCTTGGTATTTCCTATAGTGCTTAGTACAGGCTGGGCAAACTGTGGGTGCTCAGTACATACTTAGTGATTGACTGATAAGCCAGTTTATATTTTGGGCCACACAATCCCTTGAGGTCAGCTCCTGGAATGAGAAGGCTGGACAGAGTCAGAGACTAGGGCTGTGCTGGGTCAGTATCAGATGCTGTCACTTGGATATCAAATTTAGACCATAATGTAAGAACTTCATTTACATAAAACACCTAACTTAATCCCTGGCTCAGAGGAGGTTCCTAATAAGTGGTCTTTATTGATGAGAGAGTTGTCTTAGGGCTAGTGTTGAGGGTTCAAGCACAGCACCTAAAACCATTCAGCCTGGAATCAGAAATCCAGTCTAGAGATGAAACAAAATTGAGAACCAGCAGGAGCAGACAGGTATCAGAGGCAGAGACAGAGGCTTGGTTTGAGTTCAGTTGCATTGTAATATCACCTTCCCTGCCACCCCAGGCATTTTTTATTGGGCTTTCTGTATGTTTGGCTTTTGCACAGTGGCAAAGGTGTTTTCAGTCTCTAACAGGAGCCAATAATCCCAGCACAGTGCTGTGAATACTGGAGGTGTGTAATGAAAGAGATTCCATCGATCTCTCGCCTGTTAAAGTGAATAACGCAGCAGCAGCGTTGGGGATTCATCTGAGACAACAGTGCTAGAGAACAGCCATTTGGCTAGAACAAGATTACTGCCCAAGCTTTTCCTAATCAGGAGTGGGGTGCCCCCGGAATTGGGAAACCAAGAGGTCAGTCAGATAAGGATTAACTTCAGTGACAAATTTAGAGGCTCAGAAAACATGGATGACACAGATTCAACAAAGTGAAGAATGGGTTTCCTTCTTCTTACCTTTCTACCCCTAGTCAGCAGCATAGATAAAGGAGGGAGGCGGGCCAGGTTTGTTACATATAGACGTTCATCATAACATATAGCATTGTGTTTCTCCTCTATGCCAAACATTTCCTGCACATTATCTCTAATCTCCCTTATAACACTATGAAGTAGGTATTAGCTCTATTTTACAGAAGCTTATACAAGCTACTGAGAGCCAGGATTTGAATCCAGGTCTATCTGGCCATAAAGCTTTTGTGCCTTCTGTTCTGCCTCTTCTGTGCCAGTCATAGCAGCTGGGGCCCCAGGGAAGTAGTTGCTGCTTAAGAACTAGTTGCTTATGTGTGGGCAGGGTGTCCCATGGTTCTTCCCTTTGCTCATCAATTCATTATACAAATATGTATTTATTTATAGCCACAGAGTTGGGAGAGGAGTGCAGGTCAGGTAGGCGGGGTGGGAAGGGACACACATGTTGGGGGGGGAGGGCAAGGGAACATAGGAGGGTTGAAACTTGAGAAAACAGAGCAAAAGAAAAGGGTCGTCATGAGCTGGAATGCAGGATGGGGCCTGATTTCGGGGGGTCTGTTCTTGGATGCAGTACTAAATGGGTCTTTGGGTGTTTCCAGAAGAAATACGTGGAGCAACACTAGTAGGCAAGCTGCAGTCCACTGGCAGCCCTCAGGCCTGCGCTTTATACCAACACATCCACAACACACACTAGCATGGGAGCCATAAATGTGGAGACAGATATCTTTAAACAGGCACACCAAAATGTATATCACACAATGGCAGCTGATTGCAGTGGTGCTTCCAGTGCTCATTACGTTACTGTTAACTCCCCTTCAAGGGAACCAGTGCTCATTTGGATACGTAAAGTCTGGGAGCTTTGTTGAGAGGAGAAGGAAGGAGAAGAGAAAAAAAGAAACAATCTCATTTTATAGTCAAAATTTAGTTGTGTGCATTAAGACTTTAAGGATTATATGAAATAATGTAACTGCAGAGAAGGAAGTGCTATGGAATATTTGTCCATATAAATCTTACTTATATTTCTTTTAGTGGTAAACACAAGTCATAACAGATAGTAATAAAACAAGCCTGACCTACACAGCCACTTAATCCCAGAGGGATGTGACCCAGAGCAGGGAGGGGCAGAGCCCAGGAATGCTGTGACACATTGATTCCAGGACTCCTTGGGCTTCACCTGTGCCTGAGATATGGACAAAGTATGTTTGGAAGCTGCAGAGATTTATTTGTGACTGCTCCATAGTCAGGGGGATGGCAGTTAGGTTAAACATGCTATGCCTAAGGGCATCTAGTGTACACAGGTTTGAGAATCCAGGGGTCTGATGGGGCTGAGGGAAGTTCCTCTCCCTTCCATACCAAGTGTGTGCAATACCAGCACCCTCCAGGATTCAAAGGGGGGGGGGATTGAAGACAATGATACTGATCATACAGTTTATAGGGAATAAAGCAATGATTATAATCAGCATGAGTGCTAAGGAACAATAGAAGCTTTATAAAGACATACTTTACCCTACAAATTAATTATAACACATCTCTCTCTTAAGAGAATTACCTAGCGATTTTTTAATCCTTTTAAATTTTTGATCGAAGGGTGGTGCCATGAAAGTGTCAAATGTAATTATCATTAAATAGCTTTTTTCTTCATATCACGTGGGACCCGAATACTGTAAAGGAGAAATTGTTCCTGACCATGTATGTGGTCCTTCAACTAACACACACAAAAACTGCCTTGGGAAGAGCTTTGGCAATCTCCTCTCTATTAATTGCAAATACTCTCACCTTAGAGTAACTTTATTCAAGCTCAGAAATTGGCTAGCAACCTAGGCACCGTCCCCAACAGTGTGACAGGTAAGGAGAGGCCACCTTCAGCCCTTTCTCATATTTCCCCTTGTATTTGGAAGCCAAGAGCCATACTAGTGGAAACAGACCTGATGTCTTTTAAAGTCCTCTGTATAATATTAATGCCCTTGTTCTCAACTGTTTTTCTCACTCCAATCTCGAACTTCTAAAGAATGCGGCTCACTCGGATCAGGAGCAGTGGGTCATTGTGGCAGTAGCTGCAGAGGGACAGAATCAATGTGGTTGGTGGGTGGGGATTGTGCCTTGTATCCCCGCCCCCCTCCAATCATCATAAGCTCTCCAAAGCGAACAGTAATTTACAACCTTCTTGGAAACCTTACTTCATTACCTACCTGGAAGAATTTAAGCACTGGCAGTCGAGTTTCTCTAACTTAATCACAATTACTTGTTTTCGGTACCACAAAATGATTCTGCGTTCCTGGGGACAGCTCTCCCTTTCAAGTTCCTTTTTATGTTTGTTGTGTTCAGGAAGCCTTAGAGATGCAGGCCAGGGTGACTGGGACAGAGGTGAGATCCCTAACTACTGAATGGGACTTGGGAGGGAGAGGACTTGTTTTTATGCTGATAAAGAGTAAAATCCGGAGTCGCGATCGATTTCAGGCACGTAGGGCGGAAGAGGCCCAGGGCAGACCTAGTATGGGGTGAGCACAGGGATCTGTGAGCCAGTGTTGCTTCAGCGTCTCACCCTGTGTGCGAGGGGAGGCTGGTAGTCCGTCCCTCCTTGTCCCTTCAGCACTACCCTTCACCTCCGTGTCTGCATAACTATATCAGTAGAAAGCGACGCTTCTCACATTGGCGCCGGGACCCCAAAGGGAGGCTCGCTGTGGCTTGGCAGGTGGGCACGAAGCCGGGAGATGGGTGGGGGAGTGGGGCGGAGGCAGCGTCGAGTGGCGTTTGGAGTAGCCAATGGTAGTTCGGGGCAGGGGTGGCAGGGGCGGAGGCACCAAGGCCGAGCAGCCAATGGCAGGCGAGCAACTACTGGAACGACCTGGTGACGTGAGGAGCGTTCCATTTGGCCAGCGGTGGGCGGTTGCCACAGCTGGTTTAGGGCCCCGACTATTGGGGCCCCTTGTCAGGAGGAGGCAGCCTCCGGGCTGGGGAGGAGAAGTCGCTGCCACCTCTGGCAGCTGACGCGGTCCCCTGGGAAGGTGCACTTCCTGCCCTCAGTTCCCGGCCGAGTTCGGTCTCCCGGGTTCAGGTAACGAGGGGTGGGGGTTGGGGTCTCCTGGGCTCGGCCGCATGGTGGGCTGCCAACCCCTCCGCTGAGCCCCGCCGCGCGGACATAGGCAATTGCCCTTTTCAGCCGGGCTGCTGCCGCCGAGCCCCTGGCCGCGGGTGACTACACGTGGCGGGCGTGTGTGAGTGTGTACGAGCGTGTGGAGGTGGCGCGCGTCCCAACCTGCCTGGGGCGGTGGTCCGCTGCGTGGCGGAGGCAGGGCTGGCCTCCCGAGGCCGCGCCTGCCGCCCGCCCCGGACTCGGGCCTCCGGTCCCCGGCTGGTGGGCCGGTCGCTGCCTCTAGATGGATTTTGATCTTTGTTCTCCCAGGGCCCGGCTCCCCTTCCTGGTCTCTCTTCTCCCGCTGGGCCGGTTTATCTGGAGGAGATTGTTTTCCAGGTTAGTTTTACACAAAGGAAGTGTTCTCTGCACCTCTGGTGCTCCCTCCCTTTGGCCAAGCCTTCTTGCTTTCTCATTTCCCTGCTCATCTCCTGGTCTCTGGACCCTTGCCCTCTCCAGCCCAGAATGATTTCGGGTTGGTTGTTTCTCTCAGGCGGGCTGCAGGCTTCCACCTCATTCTTGCCAGTGTCGGGCATGTGGTGTCAGTAAATAGAGGCCACAGCACCACACCTGAGAAGAGAAGGGTTACAGTGGTTGAGAGAGGCTGGGCCCCCCGGGGTTCAGGATGCCAAGTAGAAATGGCACTTATGAAATGTCCCAGAAAGCAAGCACCTTTATGACGTTTCTTAGCTCATGACTCTGCCATGCCACCCACCCCCACCCCCAACCATTCCAAAACCTCTCCTGCTTAAGTCAGCCTTTCACCTATAGGTCTGTGATGTGGTTCCATTAAGATTCCCGCAAATGTTAGGCTAGACTGGCAAGATTGGTTCATTTCCCGAACTCAGGAGGTTGCAGAGGGTTTGATTAGGGGAAATCTGTTTTGAGTAAATACAACCTGGGTATGTGTACAGAATGTCCAGAACCTCCTAGCCCTGCCAGAGGGCGACTTGTTCCCGGGTGTGATTCATATTTGAGTGGCTAATTGAAGAAAGAAGGTGAAGTGGAGGGGAGGGAATGGCTCCTTAAGGACAGAAACTCTACTATTGTTTTTAGAGTCCTCTTACTGATGATTATAGAACAGTGTGGAATATGGAAAGTGCCCTACACTGGAAGTCAGCTTACGTGTTTTCTTGGCTTAGCTTTGCAGCTGTGTGACGCTGGACAAGTTACTTCCTCTCTATGGTCTTAACTTTACTCATTTCCTAAAACAAAGTAATTGGGGTTATCACCCATAAAATCCCTTCTAGTTCCAAGGTTTTATGATGATCAGATCATCAGTATTATACTGGAAGCATAGGGATTTACTTAAGAAGATATGCTAGCCCCCTTCTTTTTTTTTTTTTTTTTTGAGAACCTTTAACCTTTTTTCCTTTTAGAGGACAAACACGGATTGGAAATAAACTTTTCCCACTTCCCTACCCCTACCCCTTCAGGCAGTGCTCGTCTTTCCACCTGTGGGAAAGGAGGATTGAACTGCATTTTCTTGTTCCTGCCTCACTTTTTTTTTCCTTTTGTGCTTTTTCTTAGGGCTAGAAATTGGACTTTTGATGATGTTTGACCCCGCGGCAGCAATAGCAGGCATCGTGATATCAAAGCTGGGCTCAGCTTCTGTTTCTTCCCTCTTGTAATCACAAAGCCCATTTTGGACCAGGAATTCCAATCATGTCTGTGATGGTGGTGAGAAAGAAGGTGACACGGAAGTGGGAGAAACTCCCAGGCAGGAACACCTTCTGCTGTGATGGGCGAGTCATGATGGCCCGGCAAAAGGGCATCTTCTATTTGACCCTCTTCCTCATCCTGGGGACATGTACACTCTTCTTCGCCTTCGAGTGAGTTTCCACTGAGTAGAGTTACCTGATTATGGTTTCTTTGGGTCTAGAGGAAGAACCTTCTTTCTGGGAAGTTTGTGGATGGTCTTTGGATGGTACTATCCTCTTGAGCTATGTCCTTAGATCATGCCAACTGAATTCATTTCTTTGTGCTTATAGCAGAGTACCTGCTTCCTAAAAAGGCCAAGACCTTTGACTCCAATTTTATAGCACTGATTTGGGATTACCCCTGGCACACTTGGGTAATAAAGGAATTTGTCTTTGTTATTCACCTCTCCTTTTCAGTGGTCTCCTTAGGTTCTTAGTGACAGACTCCCTCTTCCCCACCCCTTTTGGGGCTGGGGCAGCCCTCATGGTCATAACTCAATACCACAAAACTGACCTATTCTGTTATTCTGGGTCCTATTTCCTTAGGGCTCAGCTCTCTGCTAGCTATTAAATTGAAAAGCCATCTGAATCGGGGACCTGCAGATCAGTTCCAGCCTCAAACTAGTTTGTAACACAAACTAGCCACCTGTGTAGTACATATGTGCTTATTAAATGTAAGTTTCACTCAGGATCACTCAACATAAACAACTCTGTATTCTGTGTGAGCCTGATACCAGCCTTGGAGTTATTTTTTCTGCGATGTAAAGCTAATACTAGAGCCACTATTTGAATCCTGTATCAGTCACTGCTTTAGGGAGGTGGCCAGTTGGATTTTAGGGTACAATGGCATGACTACTGGGTGTGCTGAGATACTCTAGGGATGGGAGCAATGCTAATTGGTTTAGGATTATTATGGGGAGAGCTCTGAGGAGCCAAAAGGAGTGTGTGTAGACTGTGAGCCACACCTGATACGAGCCTGCTATAGTTTATACACTAGAGTGACCTGGAAGTGGAGCTCCCATGCTGGGGCATGGCCGTAGGAGGGAAGAGGGGGCTCCTTGGCCAGGCTTTGTGGTAATTAAAATGAGCTCTGGTCTCTTGGAGCTCAATTTTGCCCTTCTTCTGTAAGGGCTCCAGGCTTTCCCAGTGCATCAAGAGTGATTTTTCAGGCTGCTTTGCCAGACTTTCTGCTCATTGCAGCTGGCTTGAATAACAGCAAGGGGGGGCAGTTTATAACAGGGCTAGGAAAGGAAGGTCAGAGAGGCTCTTTGTCAAAGGCACTTTTGCTGCTGCTGTTGCTGCTGACTTCGTGAAGTATTTGGCAAAGTCCGGTTGGTGATGGCTTCTTAGCTGCTTTCCAGTCTGAGGTTTATGGTGAGCGTGTGTATGGGTGTACTTGTGTGTGGCACAAATGAGCATGTGTGGTCAGGCAGGAGTATGTGAAACATTAAAAAAAAAATGTTTCCCCTCTCACCCTTCTCCCCAAGTTTTTGTTTTGTTTGTTTTTGTTTTTGCTTTTTTTCCTGCCTTGCTTCTTTTTGAAAGTGCAAAGCCGAACTCGCTATCATTCTCCCTCTCTTTCAGTCTTCCCCCTGCTGAATCACTACCTCTTTCTGCCACCACACCCTTCCATCTTAGAGTTAAATTTTTGTGGTTGGAACCATTTGAAACAGGGATGAGATTTGTTTCCAGGCCCTGAGTGAGTTAGTAATTCTGGGCCCAGGAAACCTCTGGTTTGGCCGTCCAGGGGAACTTGAAATTTGGGGCTATTGGCGTTTGGCCCTTTCTGTATCTGGGAGCCAGACAGAATCCGATTTGAATCTGTCCCACTTAGGCCCCAGAGGCCTCTGAACAAAACTGCCTGTGGGATGAAGCTTATAATTAGCCAAGTTACTGTTTGATGGAGGCAGGTTGAGTTTTCTACCAAGATCACTTTTCCCCCAAGTTATTTCTTGTGCTTTGCCCTCAGATATGAAGGATAACATTGTTTGTGAACTGCCTTGAGTTCCAGCAATCTGTGTGATAGAGTAAATATTTTAAAAAGATTTTTATTTATTTATTTGAGAGAGAGAGAGAGAGAGAGAGAACAAGCCAGGGGAGGAGCAGAGGGAAAGGGACATGCAGACTCTGTGCTGAGCACGGAGCCTAGTGTAGGCCTCCATCCCACAACCCTGAGATCATGACCTGCGCTAAAATCAGGAATCCAACGCTTAACCAACTAAGCCACCCAGACAGAGTAAATATGTTTGAGGGTAGGGCTAGGGGAGGGAGAAGAGAGAAAGAAGTTAATGTGTGAGCAAAGGAGTGGAATGGGAAAGCATAAAGCTGACCAAAGGGGAGAGGACACTGGTGATGAATCCTTTTTACTGAGAGTGGTGGAATCTGTTTGTGCACATGTGCGTGTGTTTCTGTGTGTGTGTGTGTGTGTGTGTGTCTCACGCAGAGACACACAAATACTCTGAGTGCTGGCTGCCTTATGCCTAGTTAATGACAGGCTGTACAAAGGACACCAGCATGCCTCTGAGGCATGAAATCTCTTTCTGGTCAACCTTTCCTTTGGAATATATAATTCACTACCAACCACACAGTGGGGGATAGCATTTGGGAGGCAGAATATGGGCCCCTTTGTTAGCATTAGAATTTAAGGAGACCTCAGGAAATCAGCTGATCTAGTCCCCTGCCTTCAGGCAGGTGAGGGCATCTGAACCACCAGTGACAGAGGGCTATTTTCATCCTCAAATTGCCTAGGAGTGTAGATTCCACATCCTCTGGCTGCTGCATTTTTGCCTTAGGGAAGTATAGATCTTGCTGCACATCTGGACCTGTATTTTCATCATAGGGTTTTGCCTGTAGCAGGTGCTTAGGAACAAGTGGAAGCTGATTTATAGCTGCCCATGGCACAGCTCTGGGTTAGCCAGATGGCTGGAGAAATCTGGTCAGGCATGTGGGCACTCCTTGATGAAAAACATGCAGTATTAGTAGTACCAGTATATATATATTTTTTTATTTTTTGATTTTGCCTTTACACATTTAGACTTCTCAAAGGAGGGACCTATAATTTTCAGTGGACAGACAGTAGGTCGAATACATAAGATGAAAGAAGGTTTTCCATCTAGGAGCTAGTTAGCTCTGTATTGTTAGAAGTGTTTCCAAAGATACTGGGTGGCCATCTCTCAGGGCTGCTGTCTCAAAGTGGATTCCTGCCCAGGATTGGAAATTGGGCTAGGATATCACTAAGCCTCTTGCAACTCTGAGAGTCTGAGGTTCTGTATAACTGTTGTGTTTGTCTAGAAGATTCAGATACACACACTGTAAAGGAAAGGTTGGATTTCCAGTAGGTAGCTGTATTTAAATATATTTCATATTTAAACATAATTATATCTATGGTAAATGTATTGACTTTAAAAGCAGAGTGAAAATTTTGCAGTGCTTAAAAAAAGGATTTCCTAATTTATTTTTAGGGTGAGGTATTTAGGAAATGTGAGTGAATATGCCAGTTTTAGCTTTGACCACATGAACCATTCTCAGTCTTTTCTGCCCAAACCCTGTCCAGCTTGTGTGAACACACAAGCTTGGCCACCAGCTTGGCCAGTTATGTCAGGACATTCTAGTGGAATGACACAGACAACTGTGAGGTGTCCAGCTACTCAAAGACTATTGTGGTGTTAGTCAAATTCAACTTCTTGATAAAGCTTAGAGGAAAGACCAAGTGCAGTGTCTTCTGGAATTGGCTTCCTATCTGTCTCTTTTAATTTTATGACCAGACTATAGGTGGGGTCAAGGTACCCAGACTTCTCTTGTGGCAAGAATGACTAAGTGACTCTTGACCCCTGAAGTATAAGCAGTTTGCTTCTATGCTCAGCGCTTATGCCTCATTGTGCTCTCTGTAGAGGGAATTGTATCAAGGTGCTATCAAACCCTGTTGGACTGACCCTTGCGGGTGATTTTGATGTGTAGAGGAGTCATTGAATTAGATGAACTGAAAAAACCTTTGTAGTGGTGCTTCGTAATTGACCCACTTCTAGCCTATCCAAATTCTACCTCTCTTTCACGTCCCTTCTTGAGTCTTCCTTCCTGAAACCTTTCCATTAATTTCTGCACATACTGCTCATTTAACATATCATCATATGACATTTCTTAGATTTCTAAATTCTATGATTATTACACTTTGAGCTCGTTCAATGCCAGGGACTATCTCCTATGTCTGTGTAGCCCTCCATGGTGCCTTCCACCAGACCTTACGTAGAGTAGGTGGTCAATAAATGTTACTGAATTAATACATTCTGGATACACTTAAAATATAACAGTCTTGACTCACAGAATCATAGAATGGTAGAACTGGAAGGGGCCTTGGAAATTATCTCCATCCTTTTGCAGGCGAGGAAACCAGGTGCACAGAATAGAGGTCCCGTTGTTAAGATCAGTCAGCCAGCCAGTGCCTCTTTATGACACTACCTTTCATTTCATTGTTACCTTGAATATGGAATCCTAAAGACATTCAGATTTACTAAAGTGTGCATAGTGCCAAATGCTAAACTAGCGTATTCTGGGTTCTTGCTAACTAGGGATTGTGTTACCTAGTGGCATCTAGGTTATTTGGGCCTCCCCCACTCAAGCTCCTGGGAAGTGAAGGTGTCTTTGTAGAAAACTAGTAGCACTCTGGCCTAGCATTCTGGTAGCCTTGCAGGAACAGAGAAGCCCATGTTTAAGTGAACATAGAAAGGAAGCTTTGTGTTAGGGGTCATCACCTCTGTGACTACTACTCCATCCCTGCTGCCCAAATGAGAATGGTTTGGAGAAAATTTAAGCAATGTGTGCTCCCTACCTCATTACTATGTGGGTGATCCGTGATGAGAGGGGCATTGTGTCCCCGTGGAGAGATGGGAAAGACAATATGACGACACAAAGTTACCAGGTTGAGGAAATACAGAGCTATGTAGACCAAAGCCAAACTGACATGGCAGAATATTGCACTTATAGTTCCTATGTCCAGGTTCCTGAAGTTATTAGATGAGATTGGGAAAATGAAAAAGTGACTTGTCATGATCTCTAACCAAGAGAACGTTTTCTGGAAAATTTTTCCGTGGAGGTTCTGTCTTGTGCTTTACCTAGCCCAAGATTCTAAGACTTGG